TCCTAGAGCCTCACCTGACAAGCACGACACCAAATGATTAAACTTCTCGACGTTGGTCAACCAAGGATCGTCATGAACTAGGCTTTCAAATAAGCACATAAAATTCTTAAATTCGGCATGCTTTCCACTGAATGTAGGCAGCCGCATTTTGGGTAACTGGGACCGTTGACTGGCCACCATAGAACAGTCATGAGAAGTCTGACTTTCAACTTTTTGTTTCGTTGCCTTCACATACAACGCCTTAGTTGAAATGCACAAATCCTCAAGTGGCCCTCTACTATCGTTACTTGGATTGAGACTATCCAAATCTGCCTGAAGCGCCATAGCTTTCTTTATGTAATCTTCTAACAGCTCGAGACGACACTCGAGTTCTGTTTGTTCAAACGAAATTGTCTTTAACTGAAATGCTGTTCTCATACGAGCAATGTCAGCGCTAACCTTATCAAATTTCTGCAAGCATTGTACTAGTTTAGAACTAGATTTAGCTACTACTTGTTGCTTTTCAGATTCCGACATGGTAGAGTATAACCAAAATAAACTCTAAACAAGTTGCAAATCAAAGAAAATGAAAGCCGAACTTTCCTAACAGCCCTCGCAAATAACAACGCGCTAAAACAGCAAGAGACAAACTGAAATGCACGCAGATTACGTACACACGCACTCAATACAGTATGCACGCAAGCAAAGTAGCAGTCCGAGCGACCGCACAAACAACAACGAAATCTGCAAGCAGTCTCAGCTGTGCTCAGAAAATAGGCGTCGATTACCGCAAGCACGCTTGTAGGCAACGCTAATCCAAACGGGTAGCGGGGGGAAGTTCGTTGGCCCAGCGACAAGTGTAACCGAAAAAGGGCGCGCACAAAGGAGAGAGCGACAAAATTCTTTTGCTACGCTAGCGGCGCAAGCAACAACAAAAGCTATGTTTCTATGTATGCAGCTGATGCATCAAATCTTCACCAAAAAACCAACACAATAGAACCAAAATAACTTCAAAATACTTGTTTATGTTAAAAATCAGCTTAGTAGCCCTTTTTTAATTGTTGTGGTTTGTTTTGCCTCGAGGTTTTGTTAGTAGTTGTGTTTATGAGGGTGTATAATTATGTTAATTTATGCAAGGTGTGGTGTATGTGTGTATATGTATGTATATAATATAATTTGTGTATGTAATGTTGGTGCACAAAATAAATCAAGTGCCAAAAATTGAGTCGGCAGCACACACGTACTATATGTACATACGTATGTATGTATGTAAATAGATTTTTTTCCACTTTGCACTTGCACGAATTGCAGCAATTGAACTTGTTAATGCTTTATGCTCAATTGTTGGCACAGAATACCTGCAAGCTCTCAAAAGAGTCCACCGAAACTTCCCTGGATTCCGAGCGACGATCACCCATTAGCCAAGCGAGACGATGCACAAATAGGGCAGACAGCAGCTCCACAGTCCAAACGAATGTATGTAGTTGATGATGCCCAGAAAGGCACCAAGCTCCAAATCAAACGAAGTAATCACACGACCGCGCACAAAAACCAAGCCACAAAGACCGCAAACAATCGAGAAAATAATCTTGAGAAAACCGAAGTCCCTGCTCGGGCGCCAATGAAAAATCGCTAGCTTTTTAGCGAAACGACAACAAGAATATTTAACTATTTATTAATGAGACGCGGTATTCTTCGATTATTAATATTGCTTTAATGGCTTGGAATTTGTGCAATAACGATGTTGACCGTGCGAGAAGTATTTAACAAGTGATTTGCCTGCTGCCGCTACAAGTCAGCGGGCCGGCATAAGAAAAAGAATGCACAAAGAGAGCGCCACAGAGAGCGCAGTAAAGGGCGCGATAGAGAGCGCAAAGAAAAGGCTTAGAGGCTCAGTAGGGTGCTCCAACATATATATATATATATATATATATATATATATATATATATATATATATATATATATATATATTTAATTCATTAAAAATTTGTTTTTTTTTTCATTTTTCCCTTTTTGGTGGGAGGTACAGAGTATTTAAGAGTTGAGCTCGCTCGACTCTAGCATTCCTTTCTTGTTTTAAAATTAATTGGTAGAATATTTATTCGTTTTTTCCTTTTTGGTGGGGGGTAGAGGGTATTTAAGAGTTGAGCTTGCTTTCTTGTTTTGTGTTTTGACCTTAGCGTGTTTTGAAGTGCATCAGAGTAGATGGGAGAGCTGGGCATGGAAGTGGTAGCATAGCTGTGAAGGTAGAGCTCTGTTTGTTGATTGTGGAAATGTTGTAGAGTTTGACTTCATCTAACTCTCCTTTGTGTAATGCGGTTTAAATTACGCTTGTCCTTGGAAGAATCGAAGATGCTTATAAAATGGCGGTAATTTGCAGACGCCAGGTGTCTGAGCTACCAGCGTGGCTCTGTTGTTTTGAAAAGTTACACCAATGTTATAAAATGTGGGGTTAGCATTGTAGAAAACAAGTAAAGCTTAATTTGAATTTAAAAAATCATATAATAAGTTTATTTTAAAGTTAGCTTTAAGCTATACAAGCTCATCAAAAGAAAATTTAGAAAATTTAGAAATTTTATTACTTTATTGATTAATAACAATAAAGATTTTGATGCATAACATCTCTGTTGATTTTGTTCCTAATGTGAGCTTCTTTTTCTATGGAAAACTTTTTTGAAAACATCGCTGCATCGATGATTTTGCGATGCATCGATTTTTCATAAATAGAAATCGATGGTTATAAACATCGATGTTTTTTCTTCGACTTACATCCCTAATCTGTATCGATAATCGTAATAGAGAAGTATCGATTAAAATGTGCATATATTTTCCGACTGCATGAACCTGCCACCTCTAACCATTCAAAATAATATTTTATACATTTGGCGACTCAGTATCAACAGTCACAGCCCGATCTAGCAGTATCAGACACATTTTAGCAGTATAGTAACTTTAATCGTGGGGATGTACGTCGATGCGAAAACATCGATGTCGATGTCCATCTATGGTTATTTAAAAAAAAATCGATGCGTTTTGATACATCGCAAGAAAACATCGAACCATCAAATATTTGAAAAATTACTTTTTTATAGAAAATAAGCTCACACTTGTTAGAGTCAAAACCAACAGAGATGTTTAATACTAAAATATTTTAAAATATGTATTTATAGTAATTTATAAAATAAAATGAATATTTTTCAAGACTGGATTCAAAATGATAGCCATAGCCAGAAGAGGAACCTTAAACGATACAGAATTTTTGAATTATTTAGAAAGAATATTATATATCATTAAATATACCTGTTCCGATCCGTTTATTAATTTCCAACAAAATTAATTCCTTGCTGGAATGATCATATATAGTAAATGATAGTAAATCTACGTCAAATACAGTTACCATTTAAAGGTTATATTGTGTATAAAAAGTGCTGTTCCATCTGGAATCGATATCCTGAATCGGTCTTTTATCAGTTGGGTTGCTAAGTTTCTTACTTGTGAAACAATTGGGCCCTTACCTTCCCAACGACAGAGATATTTATATTTTTGTGAAACACATATCTGTGCAAAAGGCACGAAATACCTCCTGGGTTGCTTCATTGGTGACCGCTAACCACTGGTCTCCAAATATACATTCATATTTCATATGAAGGTAAAGCTAATCCTTTAATTTTATTATCTTTTATTTTTATACCCTGTACCCGTAGGGTAAAAAGGGTATATTAGGTTTGTGCAAAGTATGTAACATACAGAAGGAAGCATGTCCGACCCCATAAAGTATATATATTCTTGATCAGCATGACGAGAGAAATCGATCTAGACATGTCCGCCCGTCTGTCCGTCCGTCTGGATGAACGCAAGGATCTCAGAAACTATGAAAGCTAGAATAACCAAAGTTGGCATCCAGATTCTCCTAGGTCCGAGTAAGGACGAGTTTATTTTTTTTTTAATTTTCCCCCCCTTCCCCCGCTACAGAATTTCGTCAATAGCGTCCACATTTCAAATGCTACCTAAACCAAACTTTGCACACATAATACTATAAATAATTATCTACTGTTGTTTAAAATTTTATTGAATTCTGTCAATTCTAAGAAAAGTTATTAGCGAAACAAATTCTCGCCAGTACAACCCCCCCAAACTGCAGAAAAAAGTTCGCTCTTCTTCTTAATTTTTTAGCTGAATATGCAAGAATTTTATTTATATACAAGTAGTAAGTATATTATTTTGTGTAATTTTGTTGGGTTGTGATGTATTTCATTTATGATTTTATGTTAAAATAAATTTTATTCTGTATGTATGTATTTTCTGAATGTTAAAATCAACTATGACAAAATTGAGAAAAATATTGTTCCCTGCACCCGTAGGCTAAAAATGGTATATTAGGTTTGTGCAAAGAATGTAACAGGCAAAAGGAAGCATCTCCGACACCATAAAGGGTATATATTCCAAAACAGCACGACGAAAGAAATCGATCTAGACATGTCCGCCGGTGCGTGTGCCCGTCCGTGTGGATGAACGCCTGGATTTCGGAAACGGCTGAGCGCACATTAAGCAAACTTGGTATGTGGATGCTCCTAGTCACTAGTCTATACGAGTTTATTTTATATTTTTGGTTTGGCAATTATTTGCTGGTCACACATAATTTTCAAAATTTGTGTGTCTTGTCGTAGCTTAATTGGGCAATAACATTGATAACATTGTATTGGTTAGATAAGGGAAGAAAAACTAGCACCACTTGGTCTACTATTTAATCAGGTGCCGGACATGAGATGTTTACTTTTGGTGATGGAACACTTAATGAACGATTGTCTGCCTACTTTTGTTAAAAACAAACCTGCAGAGTACTCTGAAGGTGCTCTGTGACTGAATTAAGCTTATCAGATAATTCATACCTTATTTACTGATATTTGGCGTGCCTCTGTACTATGTATTATTTGGTGCGCAAGCCTAACACCTGCAGGCATTGTTTTCATTCGTAACACCTGCACGCCTCGGCTACAGGCGATATCAACGCGGACTCAACTTGATAAACCCAATACACAATTGGTCATCGCTTGGCAATTAGCCGGGCGCCGTCTAGTATATAAAGTTCTCAGATTGGGTTGATAATTTCATTCACAGTATCGACGGCGCGCGCAAGCACAAGTGTTAAATAAATTTTAAATTTCCGTTTTTTTCCAATCAAATTCTTCTCCGAAATATGTTGCGCATTGCTTTTGTTGCACTAGCCTGCCTGTTCCTCGTGTCCAGTGCCACAAATGTCAAGGAATGTAAGTTGAGAGAAACACAGTAAGGCTCGGTAAAGCTGGAATAAAACCTTCGGTCAGAACTTAAGCCATTTGGTTATGTAGTTATTAATTGCAGTTGCTTTTTCTTGAGTTCATTATTAGTTTCAGACAAATTATTGCGAACTACACGATATCATATGCTAGTAGTGACTTATGGAGGGAAACCTTCATTCGTTCCATTGTGATGAGTGGGAAATTAAATCCCAAACTAAAAGCAAGATTTGTAGTTAATTATAACGTGATTTTGGATTGAAACAAGGTATATCCAAAGAGTTATTTTACAGCACCAGAATCCCCATTCTTAAACTGGTTTTTAACCACAGAAACCCACCAACTTAATTTTTTCTTAATATTATGGCTCTTTGTTTACTTAACGTAAAAGCTAATGAATGATTCGGTTAAAATTAAAGTATATATATCATAGTAGAAATATATATAACAATATATACATATGTATTTATAGGCACTCAAAAAAGCTTCGGGTCTATTTACGATTACTCAAATTCATAGACAATTTACAAGTAAAGCTCTTCGTTGAGCGAGATTGTAGCAAACCGATAAACCAATGCTTATAAGATTTGTAAAAATCATAGCATTCTTTTGGGCGCACTTCAAAGCTCATTCGGTTTCCGTTTTATACTTTTCAGGCAAGGGTAAACCTTTTCCACTGAGTGTGCGCGTTGAGGGCTGCGAAGAACCACCCTGTGAGGTTATCAAAGGGACGACCGCTGTGATGGAAGTGCAGTTCTTGGGCAGTAAGTATTTGGTGAACATCTACTTATATTTGTGTAAAAGAAAAACACTGTGTAACACTGAGGCTGAATATTTCACTTTTAGATAGAAACGACATTAAGAACATCGAAGCGAAGGTCACAGCAAAGGTGCTCGGAATGAACTTGCCCTACGATCTGCCCGAAGAGGTTTCGAATGTGTGCAGCAATCTGATGTTTGGCGCCATTTGTCCAGTGGATAAGAACGAGGACGTCACATACAAATTTAACTTTTACGTCGAGCCCGCCTTTCCCGAAATCACTGCCGATGTGACGGTTACACTGAATGACGAAAACAATGACGTTATTACGTGCTTCATATGTAGCTGTAAGCTCCGTAAGGGACCAACGCAGCGCGACGAACTGCTTCTTGAATCTGGCGATCTCGATGCGTAGGACCAATGTTCTCGATTCGACATTCGTCCAATGACTGATGGTCAGGCATTCTATTGTTGAATAATAAAGTCACGACTTGTTGAGATAAACACCTCTGTTTACTTTTACTACGTCATGGGGCCTGGCCTTCCAATGCACTCGTCCAATCTGGCGCAGCCTAATCACTTTTAATTAGCCCGATAATAGATAATAGTCAATGGTTTGTGGCTTGTGTACCTAAACTTTATTTTATTATGATTATAATTAACTTGGCAGCAAGAACACTTATACAATCAGATTCCTCAACCGTTTACGATTCGTCGGTAATACCTTTTGCATTCCCCATATGGCCAATGGTATCAATGAGTCCACTTATCTGCTTTGTTTTTAATTTCTAAGTACAAGTTAGCACTCGAAAAAACTAGGGACTATAAGGAATTAACCACTTTTTCCCAATTTCGATTTGGTAAACTTTAGTTCTGGAACACAATTTGATAATCTGGTTTTGATACTTCAAGAATATCAATAAATGTCCCAGTTTGATTCTATATTGAAGTTGGAAAATAAAGACAATTGAGGTCTTGGTATTAGTATCATGAGAGGACATTCTTTAAGGTTCGTGCATAAACAATATTTTTAAAAGTTAATCATAATAAAATATAGAAATTATTGAAAATAATACTTAAATTGTATTTAATTTGAAAGGAGGTGCTCGAGTGGAATTATTTTCCACTCATTCGACGACACATACTATAAATGGGTTATTTAAAGGAGCCAATAAATTAGTTACAAGTCGATTATATGATATTCTTTAAATTAAAACCCAAGGGACAGAATGGGAGAAAGAATATTTTCTAGTAAAATGAATTCTGCATCTTTATATGTGGGATCTGCAAAAGAATTCCGGTAAACTTATTAAGGCAAAATAAAGAAATTCTTATCTTATATTTTCTTCAATGTATGGTAAGTGTGGCTCATGCTGCCTTGATAAGGTCACTCGACGTTTTTCGATAGCTCGGTACATTTCTCTTCTTCCTCTTGATGCCTGGCATGGAACAGTTGGCGACCCTGCGCGAACAGGTGTGCTGGTGCTGCTCACCTTATCGGCAATGAATTTCACAAATTAATATACTTAGATTTGGCTTACTTTTCCCACTTAATGCCTGACTACCGTAAGTGGGTAGTGCAGTATTCCATGCCGATAGGGGCGGTGACACATGGAGGATTAAAATACTGCGCTAGGTGCAAAGAAGCACTTGAAATGAGAGGCAATTATAAAAAGATTTATAATACGTACAATCAAATATAATATAAAACTAATAATTTCCGTAAATAATACCTCCATCATTTATCATAATGAATATTATTGTTATCTGGTGATCTTTAGTCTTTAGGTTGTGGATGCATAGTAAAATATACGAGAAAATATACGAGTAAGTCTAAACACTGAAGCAGTTGACTTCTAAATTGTGCTTTATTTAATTTTCGGAAAGTATCACAGTTTTATTTTATATAGATATCAAACAAAAAATCGTCAAGTTAAACTTTATTTAATTGGTAAAATCCAATTGATAGACCTCCTGCTTTGAGCCTTTTTTCACTTTAATGTCGCAGACAAAACAAGTGGCTATATCGCGATCCTGATCCACTAAATAGATTTCAATTTTAACGCCGATCTCAGGGTATTCACCAACGTAAAAATTGAACAGATACGTAACATCCTCGGTTGGATAAAGCGGGCAGTATGCGCCATACATAAGGTTGGGACACACGGCGGCCACATCTTCAGGGAGCTCATAGGGCACTGTAATGATGCCCAGCGTTGTGGCCTTTACCAAGGTAGTGAGTTGCGTGATGTATTTGTCTACAAGCAGACATGAATTGTTAATCCGAGACAGACTATGTAACGTTACAGCCAAACTTACCAACTGCAAAGTCTATTTCAAATTTGACCGTAGAGTCCTTGATGATATTACATGGGGGCGTCACGCATCCCTGCACTCTGACCTCAAGTGGAAATGGCTTATTGCCGGAACCTGTGCGAATAAAGCCATTTGGTAAATATGCGAGTATATACATATGTAGTATATTCTTTAAGGTCCCTTTACTTACAGCGCTTTACATCGGTGGCTGGCATCTCATCGTTGGCACGAGCTCCGTTCAGAAGACAAATAAACAGAGAAATGCTCAGGTAAATCAGTGTATTTCGCTGCATGCTTGATTTTAAGGTTTGTGCGTTCTACCCAACTAGGCTTTGAGAAATAACTCCTCACCAACATGCTGCTCTGATTTTATAGCCTCGGATTGGTGCGCCACTGGATTGAGTGTGTCTTCTACTCGTATCTTATCGTACTCATAATTTTATTGGGCTCATAACACTTGAGAGTAAAACTGAGTGACTCTAAAAGGGATCTATACCTGATATACTACAGTGCGGAAATTGCTGAAAGTGGGCGTGATAACCGAGTCTCCCTTGCTTGAGGCAATCACTCTGTGAGATGTAATATAAGTTATAACTATTTATTTTTATTTTCTCTTCAATATTATTTAACACTTAATGTCGCTGTCTGTGACGACGCCTCACTAAATTCTTCGTAGATGTGCGCTTAGCTTTTCGATCTTTGTTTTCCATCTGCTTCTTCTTCTGATAATTTTGTAAGCGTTTCAACTTTTGCGCAGCTATGGTTTTGAATGATTTGTACTTGCAACTATTTATCGTCGTCCTAATGAAATCGTAGTGATAGCCAACGCTTGCGAACACATCCGGAACTCCTGTGGCGCAGGGCATCACAAAGCTGGCCACGCCAACCAAATTGCCATTGTAGACTAATGGACCGCCCGAATCACCGTGACAAGCACCTTTACCCAAGCGGTTGAAGGCACATATATTGCCAATATCCACACCGTCAGCGTCTTTCCAAAGGTGGTTGCATTTATGGTAAGGCACACTTCTGAACGACAGGCTTTGGAGTTTTGTAGGAGCTGTTGGAAAATCCGCGTAGGGATTGTAGTCCAGAGCCCCCCAACCAGTAAGCTTCAACGAGGCTCCATCGGGCACAAAATCAGCAATGAAAGGAATTGGACGAATTCGAAGGCTATATTTCATGACCTCCTTTGTAAAAATCAGTGCTATGTCGTTGGCATATTGCGGATAATTATAGTTGCAATGCACAACGACACGCTGTACGTTAAACACCTTGGCGCCACTTTTAATTGACAGATTAGGCGTACCAGCCAATATGGTAATATCTTTGTGCTTAACGCAGTGGGCAGCCGTTAGAATCCAACGCTCAGTCAATATGGAGCCGCCACAGACATGAGTTCCCTCCTGCTGCAGGGAAACCATAAAAGGAGCCTGGAACGCATGGGCTGGTTGCCCTCCAACAATTCTTGAAATATTTACGAAATCGAAGGCTGCCGATGTTCCGCGGCTCAGGGCCGCACAGATTATTAAAGGGAGCCAATATCTATGCTTGTACATCCTCTTCGAACCCCGGTGCTTGACTGTTCCACAACAATTTAGAGTAGATTGTGCATTTGAATGGTTCATTCGCAACGCATTTGTTGAAGCCACTCGAACCGTGAAATTGTGGACCCAGTATAACCACCCAAAAGTAAAAAATAATAGTATAAATATATAAATCATAGTAGCACATCACTTCAAATAGAGACAGCAGGGTGAAATCTTTCCACCATCTCAGAGGTCTAACAGATTAGCAAAAGCTTACAACCCGTTTTTAAAGCAAGGAACAATACAAGGAATATAGTCTCAAGAAACACGAAATATATTCCAGAATATTTTGAGCCTTGACTACGAAACTTTGAAGCATAAACCGATAAATACTCGTGTACCTGAATCAATCGGAATATAGATTCAAAGTGTTAAACACTAAAGATCTTTAACTTTCCCAAGTCATCTGTCTATTCATAGTGGAATCACTAATATACCATATGATGACCAAGCCTAAAAAAAAGAAGACGTCAGATTAAATATTAGGGACACGATAGAGATCAAAGTTGGTGAGTGATGTGAAAAAAAATAGCACGAGCAAATGTGCGATCACAGATTAGCTTCACTTTATCTAAATGCATCCTTATTCTACTTATTAAGTTCGTTGTTTTGTTATTCCCCCGATATATTCATATCCCATTCATTAAAAAGGAATAGAAAACATATAAGACCGATTTGGAGTACTTAGATTGTGGTCTAACTGCGACAAATCGATTCAACTAATTAAATTAGTAAGCATGTACATACATTCGGATGTATTCGTATTGACGTTTCAAACAGATACAATCAAATATACAACCCACCTATTGGTAGTAAAACAAATGTATACCCAAAGCGTCAAATGCAGTGCTAGTTTAGTGCGAGTGTGTGAAACACAGAAGGATTTGGGTCTGCTCGTCTTTAGCATTCCATTCATATTAAAGTTGAATTGACACAAAACGTAACTGAAAATCAAAAGCACTGCATTTAAGGCTTGGCATGTTCTCATATCGACTGTGAAATTTATCATAGAATACTTTTTGGAAATTACAGCAGAGGACACTTGATGCCCGATGGGATTTGGTTTATTCTGTATTGGCAAAGCTAAATTTAGAAATGAAATCGAGATCGTTTATTTTCTTGGTTTGAAAAAAAATTGACCACTATTTAATTCCGTACACTTGTTTGCAGTATTTAAGGATCCTGGCGTAGTTTGGAAAGCCTCCACTAAGCCCACAAAGTAAAAAGTACAGACATTTTGCTAAGTAGCAATGTCCAAAAGGCATTGTCAGAGCAACTTCAAAAATAAAGACACGCAATTCACTGACAAAACCAAGCTCGAAAACATAATTGAGTCTGCACGTACACGTACATAAATACATACTCGGGCACATATAGGAAAAGGTAAATTCACGAGGACATGTTGAAAAGTGTGTGAAGGATGAAAATTCAATGTAACGCTCAGTCCAAGGGGACTAAAAGAAATACATGCAAGTAACAAGAAACTTTTACTATACTGAATATTTTCATATTCAATTCTTTGTTTTAATATTTCGTATTTAAATCAAACTCAATAAAATACAATTATAGCTAAAAACAGATGATTTTTCACAACAATGAAACATATGATATTCCTCAATTTTAATATCAATATAGTTCTATTGTTCACTATATATTACAAATTGTGGAAATAGTCAAAATTCTGTAGCAACAAAAATGTTTGTAAATGACATTCTAATAAAAACGTAATGTACAAAATATAAATACATATAGTATATATAATATGCTTGAAAGAAATATCAACATTGAAAACAATTAATACAGTAAGTAGAGTAGCAAAAACGATGATAAAAGAATTCGAGATATATACATATTAATATCAGAGTTTAAGTATTTACTAAACCACACTGCAGTGAAAAATCAACGGTAAATATATTTAAATTTACGTAAAAATATTTAAATTTACGTGTTTTTTTTTTTAGTGTGCACTGATAAGGATTACATTTAAAAAGTCACAAATTAGAACGGAAGAAAAAAAATGTAAATACCCTTTCATATGCTAAGGGCACTACTATGTGCCACTTTATTCTTAGATGATAGCCAGAGTTATCATATCTAATGTGTATCGATATACGATTGGTTTAATGGTTAAGATAAGATCACTTTTTGTTTAATGACACAAATGATGGTGGAAACTTACTTAAATTAAGTGACTTATAAGAAAAATAAAAATAAGTTATTGAAATACAACTACAAGTATATTCTGGATATATATTATAGATTTTTAAATAGCTTGCAAACAATATCTCTTCAGTTTTTTATGTAGGTTGAGAAAATGGATGATTTCCAATATTAAGTTAATCTTCTGATATTCTCTGAACATTGAAATGTTAAGTACTTGTAGCCCGGAGAAATCTATTTTTAGGATCTAAGAGTGATTCTTAAGGAGTTGTTGGAGCAGACCTTGAATAAGGGAGAGCCAACCAACGCTTTAGGTTATGTATATCAAAGAACATTTAAATTAATTCATTTCATTTAAATAATAAATATATGAATAAAATATTCTTATTGCTAACCGTATTCTCAGGATCTGATGTATATATATTGGAAACATTGAAACTAGTAGTGTGATAAAATTGTTTCATTTGCAATATAGACGGTAATATTGTCGGTTATACGAGACGGAGTGCGGAGTAAACATTAAGTCACCTGCTCTTCAATTCACCCTCGCTATTTCATGTGCGCAAAAATTCAGAATCACACAAAACGTAGAGATGACGATATAAGGGTGGGGGTAAGGGTGAGAGTTTAGAAGGCATGTGGGCAGCGCAGCGTGAGATTCGTGCTCCTTCCTCCCCCTGCCGTTCTGAGCAGTTCCCTTCAAGTAAAATACTGCTGTCGTTTGTCACATGCGGTACGGTTTTCGTAATTGTTGTGACATTATATAATATGTCAAAGTAACGGAAAATCCTACAAAAACGTGGGCATGTGTGGGAGGTCTTAAGCATGATGTGTGTGTGTGTGTGTGGTGTACATACATGTATGTGTGAATGTGTGGCTCTCTTTAATCTTCCTCGTATTTTTTTTAACCAATGAACCGCAGTATTTGATTAACATCAGGCGGAGCGCATTGATTTTTGTCGATATATTTATCTAGGTATTCATTCCTTTTCAGGGCGTAATATGATATTCAATTTTCAGTGTCGTTTAATGCAATTATCTAAGTCGGAAGAATCTACGTGCAGCACCGGGCAGGCATACCACATGTCTGCACAGCACTGTATGCGACTGCCTTACCCGTTTCCCCCATTTCCGTTTGCACTTTTGGGCTTAAGCTGCTGAGTGCCATTTATAAATATTTATTTTTGCATATTCCCCGATGTATTGCCATCCTTCTTGAGCAGCACGGATTTGCGCTTTTCTGCCTTTTGAAATCGATAATGTTTCGAAAAGGAAATGGCAAATATGTGGCCATTATTTTGCATATCGATTTGGCCCACAAGTATGCTGCTCGGTGGATACTACATTGTTGTGTGGATGTCCTTTGAACTTTGGCTCATACGAAAGCAAGCGGATAATCACCTTTTATTGCGGCATGCTAATCCCACATGCTTTGGCTTACAGTTTCTACATTAAGCAGTTTTCTAATTTGGATTTTCCCTAATGCATTACTTCTGCAACGTTCTATTCTTTTACAATTAATAAAATGTGTTAATACGCAGTATATTTGAAAAATGATTCTTACATTATTTTACAAATAATACTTGTAGAATAGAATACTTTTAGTTTTAGGACAAAGGCCGCAAAGTATGCAGAATTTTTTTAAAATATTTCTTCTTTTTTTTAAATGTACATATATACAGTTTATTAAACTAGTATTCTGCTATCAATATGGCAGTTTAAGCTGGTTGAAAATTAATGGGGATTACAAGAGTTGTCCATAGTATGCATATAGGACGCACTTACATACATATATACAATGTATAGTATGTATATGTATATTTACAATATTTTAGATTAAATATGAAACATATTTTATGATATTATATAGTTTACACAAGGGATATTGTGGGGAGATCCTTTGGATGGCACTTCCTGGGTCTGGAGAACAGCCGTCTCGCTAGTGCGTTGGGGTGACTGCCGAGGCGCTTCTCAGAACTGCCTGCGTGCTCTCGAATGTCATCGTCAACCTGGCAACACATAAATCCCTTTCGATGTCCCTAGGGCGCATATACCAGGGAGCGTTGCATATTTTTCTCAGGATTTTAGCTTGCGCTTTTATTTTTCTAAGGTGGGAGGTAGCGGCAATGCCATAAATTGGTAGCGCATACTTTCATATTGGGCTTAGAATAGATTTAGAGATTGTCAGCTTACTGTGTAGAGACAGCTTGTTCCTGGGTGCAAGCAGCTATGCCATCTCTCCAGCTTTTGTCAGGACCGACTTCTGGACCATGGTTGTGTGCTTTCTGAAGGTCAGTCTCCTGTCCAGTATGACACCAAGGTATTTGTGGGATCTTGTATGAGTGAGTGTGGACCCCAACATTGTAATATTTCTGCAGGACGATGGCCTTGTTGCAAATGTGACATTCACGCACTTTCTGGCGTTGATAAAAATGTTCCAATTCAGAGCTCAATTCTCGAAGTTTGTGTCCCTTAGAAAGCTTTCGATGAGTTGGAACAGTTGAGGAGTTAGTATGCCTGTCAACTTGCAGGGGAGTCATCTTGCCATCTTTATGTTCCTAAACACAGTCACTGAGTACATCTTTTGCTCCATAGCTTCCAGTATTGTGTTATTTTGCTTTAAAGCACCCAGCTTTTTTAACATCAACCTGATTAATAGATCTGTGATGATTACTAATATTCTATTTAGCAGAGATTCCAGTTCCGCCACCTATGAACCTGAAGCTAAACATCTATACTCATCCACAAACAATAATAGGGTGTTGTAGAAGACATGTTTTGAGCGAGTGGAAGAACATAAACCCATAATA